TGGGTGTTAACTAATGGAGAGGGAATGACGGATGGGAATAAATACACAGATTTATAGACAGGCACGCGATATAAACATCGGTGCTTGTAAAATATAACTCAACCAAGTCAGTTTTTAAGCTTCTGTTGGCAATATTATTTCGGCTGAGACGTACACAATAGCTAGTAAAACTTTTATGGTTTAGGTTTTGGTATGGACACGTTCATTGGTTAGGAAAATCTTACATTTATAACAGTCACATTCCTTGGCTGGGAAAACACATTTATAAACAGCGCGTCTTGTGTATTAAAATCTTCTGTTTTACACAGCGCACTCATTGGTCAGTACATTTCCAACTGCTCATTATTCAGCTGCTAAAACCTTAAATTTTTTTTAAACTGATTATTCTGCAGCCAGTCAAAGCTTACTTTTTTACCTACCCATTCATAAGCGAGTAAAACCTTATATTTTTACATTATGAATCTTCGTCTATTAAAATTTACATTTGTTTATACATTCTTTGTAAGTGCGTTAACAACGTTACTTAATTAAATTACCCTAACCTTGAGGCGTGCGGCGTAATCCACTATTACACTAGTTATTTTTCCAGAGCTACGGTGTAAACATATCACCAGCTCCCTCCTGAATTTATCCTGGCAGATTTTATGCACCAATAAATCCAGACGAGTTAGCCTACGTTTGAGGTCCATGTAGAAACATAACGTAATACGTCATGTATCATAGAGTTACTGAAGTTGTAGTGTGTGTGTATGCTGCAGACTTATGGTTCTCAAACTGGGCATCAACAGAGGGCTAGACCAGAGGCGTAGCGAGGGTGGCAGGGGGGACGACATATGTCCCCGGGCGCCGACCCTAGGGGGGGCGCCAAATTGAAAGTTTGGGGGGGGGGTGTGCAAATGAAAAGTTCGAGGGGGGGGGGTGCAAATAGAAAGTTTGAGGGGTGGGTGCAAATGAAAAGTTTGAGGGAGGGGAGGGGGTGCAAATCGAAGTTTGAGGGGGGTGCAAATGAAAAGTTCGAGAGGGGGTGCAAATCGAAAGTTTGTCCCCGGGCGCCGGGAAGGGTCGCTACGTCTCTGGGCTAGACGTCAAGTTGTGTGTGTGCAAGTCTGTATGCTGCAGATGTTCTCAAACTGGACATCAATAGAGGGCTAGACGTCAAGTTGTGTGTGTGCAAGTCTGTATGCTGCAGAGGTTCTCAAACTGGACATCAATAGAGGGCTAGACGTCAAGTTGTGTGTGTGCAAGTCTGTATGCTGCAGATGTTCTCAAACTGGACATCAATAGAGGGCTAGACGTCAAGTTGTGTGTGTGCAAGTCTGTATGCTGCAGAGGTTCTCAAACTGGACATCAATAGAGGGCTAGACGTCAAGTTGTGTGTGAGCAAGTCTGTATGCTGCAGAGGTTCTCAAACTGGACATCAATAGAGGGCTAGACGTCAAGTTGTGTGTGTGCAAGTCTGTATGCTGCAGATGTTCTCAAACTGGACATCAATAGAGGGCTAGACGTCAAGTTGTGTGTGTGCAAGTATGTATGCTGCAGACTTAGGTTCTCAAACTGGACATCAATATATTGCTAGTGTTCTAGTTCCCCGGTGTATTGTAATGTTTTACTTTAGTAGCGCTTTACTATTTTGTTATAAATAAATAGGTATTATAAATTTGTTATAAATAGTCTACTTTAATCTGCCAACTTTCCAATACATAAATTACACAAGTTTGAATGAGGTATAAGTGATTTTATAGATACCTACATGACGAAAAAATCTTATTTCTTACTAGTCAGTTCCAGAATGAAGTAATCAAACTAAAAAAAATCTTATTTCTTACTAGTCAGTTCCAGAATGAACTAATCAAACTAAAAAAAATCTTATTTCTTACTAGTCAGTTCCAGAATGAACTAATCAAACTTAAAAAAAAACCTCTGAGTTCAATCGCATTAGTGGTCGAATTTCTCTAAATGTTTGTCAGAAACTAGTACAATTTTGCGACATTAACGTTTTAAAACCTCTCTACAACAGATGAAAGATCAACCATGCTACACAAATATCGCTAGCTAGGTGTACAAATTTCTTTGTTAAAGTACACCTAGTTCGAGTTCGTTTTCCTTAGCTAATTCTTACTGTCACTCGAATTTATTTTATCTTCGGTATGTCGTTAGAGGATCGTGTTGTTGATGACTGAATGACTTCTACGTTCATTTCTTTAATGTACAAAAGCAAATATTAGGAAGTGAAAATGTTGCCAGGAAAATTGAAGAAACAAACATGTACTTTTTGCTAGACATCAAAAGTGTGTTCTCTTTACCCTAGATTAGAAATACGTCGTCGGAAATTTTCATCACGACAAGGCTTTCTTTTGAAATGTTCATCTACTTGGTGTGTCTGTGTGTGTGTTTGTACTGTCGTGTACCTTCAAATGTTAGCTTATCGTCTAGACTGAACATTTTGATCTTGAGGTTTTTTTTCCATTTTATTTGGGGAATTTTTTATTATGCGTATATAAAGTTTATTTTGAATAAACATCAAAAGATTATATAGTGTTTTAATTTGTTTCAAAGCTTTATATTGTCGAGGTTCTGCTCGACTAGTTAGTTGGAGATATGTGCATTAACTAAACGAAACTGATGTCAATCGACTTTAAAATATCTGTTCAAACATTCAACTTCCGTTGTCGAGACAAGCGATACCCCGACACCTGGGTGAGCCTACGTAAGCGAGGTGTCGTGTTTCCCCGTTGCTAAACTCCGACTAACAAACATTGTAAAACCAGATCCCCGGCGCGCGGAGAAATAATATTTTGGGGTAGCGGATAGCCCTGTTAGCAGGTTTGTTTTGCATGCCACAGTTCGCCATTAAACAACATCTGCTTTGGCATTTTCCGTCACCACTCGTCATTACAGGATACCTACTTCGGCATTTTCCGTATGTTGTTGTCAGTAAATAGCATAAACTTCGGCAATTTCCGTCACCACTTGTCATTACAGGATACCCACTTCGGTATTTTCCGTATGCTGTTGTCACTAAATAGCATAAACTTCGGCAATTTCCGTCACCACTCGTCATTACAGGATACCCTTTTCGGTATTTTCCGTATGCTGTTGTCACTAAATAGCATAAACTTCGGCAATTTCCGTCACCACTCGTCATTACAGGATACCCACTTCGGTATTTTCCGTTTGCTGTTGTCAATAAATAGCATAAACTTCGTCAATTTTCGTCACCGATCGCCATCTATCCGTCATGTTTTGTTAATTGAAACCGCACATTCTTCGCCATTTTCCTTTGGATTAAGTTCGCAGAAACCAACATCCCTTTCGGCATTTATTGATGAATTTAAAAAAAAAATGAACGGGCGATGACGTAGATTGATATGACAACAATTACAATAAAAATCGTTTTAAAAAAAAAATCGTCCACAATTCGTGGCTAATTCAAATGGCTTCCAGATTAATGAAGCGTTGGAAAGGAAAGCTGGAGAAATAGGCACAGTGCATTTAGATCAGCTCCAGCCATCGTGACGTCATTGATGTTCATCTGGGTTATTGTTATTCTCGTCTGCTAACTTCAACTCATTTGGTTGATAGTCATTCACGTCTGCTAACTTTAGTTCATACGGTTTATAGTCATTTATATAAGCTTACTTAAGTTTATTGGATGCAACTGGTTGTATAAGTTTCAAAACTGCTATATAAAACATCTAAGCAAAAGATATATACAAATATATTAAAAACAAACCGTTTGGCTATGTTGATTATCTTTAATTTATAAGCTTCAATCAAAATTTCTAGGGTATATCAAAGCTAAGGAAAGCAAAAATTTTTTTTTTCTTAAAAGTAGCAGTAAGAAATGACGGCATTGCTCTTCTTTGAGATCGCTTTGAAGAACAATTAAAGAATTGAGCCTGTTTTATTCTTAACTCTTTTCAAAGAAATCGAAAGAAAACAACCACAGTTGGCTCTAGGCTTAAATGTATTACAAAGCAGTGAAAGAAAACAACCACGGTTGGCTCTCGGCTTAAATGTATTACAAAGCAGTGAAAGAAAACAACCACAGTTGGCTCTAGGCTTAAATGTATTACAAAGCAGTGAAAGAAAACAACCACGGTTGGCTCTCGGCTTAAATGTATTACAAAGCAGTGAAAGAAAACAACCACGGTTGGCTCTCGGCTTAAATGTATTACAAAGCAGTGAAAGAAAACAACCACAGTTGGCTCTAGGCTTAAATGTATCACAAAGCAGTGAAAGAATTGAACCTTGATGCTAATCTGGTAGTTAAGGAAATTGGTTATTTTTCTGGTCTTAAATCTTTGTTTCCGAAAAATCGCCGTATTAGTTTGGGTTTTACTGTACAATTCTGGCTTTGTAGAAAATAAAACTTTGTAATATAACTGCGCATTAATGTTGATCAATAATATTATGTAAGCTGTGGTATTCTTCTTCATTGAAATGTTAACAGACCACTGAACCCGTATTGTTTTAACTACTGTTTTTAAAAATGTTCACAACAAGGATTTAAAGTTTTGTTTTCCGTAAGATTTTCATATTAATTACTAGGTAAAAACGAATTGTTGTGGAGTAATGGTAAGATAAATGGACACATATTGTTTTTACCATGATTCATTTGTGAATTTAAAGCACAACGGCGTATAAAATATCGATTGAAAATGAAAAATGGAGTTAGAACTAATAGAACAGTTTGGTTCCGGGGAAGCGATACGCAATTTCCATGTAAAGACGTAATAGTAGCTGTGTCCGTATAACACTTATAAGATTGTAAAGAAGATTGTTGTTTACCGTCTTGTGGGTTATTAATATATTTTAAAACGTCAATGGCTTTAGAAAGAAAAACTACTTTCACTTACTTCCAATGCTTAACATTGATCCATTAAACACAAACCTCCACATTGAGAGAAAAACTACTTTCACTTACTTCCAATACTTACCATTACTTGCAGATGGAAACAAGAGAACATGTCACAAAAATATGTCACCTTGTGGAAGACATGTCATCTGTCATCTGTGACAAGCTGCCCACACCAACCCAACACGGGGACGATAAGAAGGGTCCTCACAAGGACACTACAGGAGGCGACACGAAAGGTTCTTACAAGGACAGTACAGACGTCAACTGGCCGTCCTTAGCAGGCTGTGTCCTGACCGCGGGGCTGGAGATCGTCTTAAGATGTCTTCGTGTGGGGGCCTCGTGTGGCCAGTTGACGGAGATGCTCATAGCCTTGACACAGTTTCAGATGGTAGGTACACAAGTCAGTGGGTATGTACACAAGCTTAGTGGGTATGTACACAAGTCAGTGGGTTGGTACACCAGCTCAGATGGTAGGTACACAATTCCCAAGGGTATGTACATAACTCCAGTGGGGTATATACACAATTCCGGTGGGTGCGTATACAATTCCGATGGGTGCGGAAACAAATAAGTTTTTACTACACTTAGATGTAGAGTTAATGATAGTTTGATCTACAGCACTGAATTTTAGAGTTCCTAATATATTTATACGAAACCTTCAGCACCAAGTTTTAGAGAACTTAACACTATTCGAAAAGTTTATTTTCTCTACATGACTGTGTTTGACAGTTCCTAAAGTTTTTATCGTTTTATCTCCATACATATTTACTGATGTACATGTATGACAAGTGAACATAATGCGTGGTGTTTCCCCAGGTCCACAAGCCAAACCTTGCTCTGTTGTTGTTGAGTGAACTATTGGCCACGCCCAGTCTGGCATATCACCCTCGACTCTTTACTCTTGGTGAGTAGGATTTATAGTACACGCCCATTCACATGACACACCCATTCACAGAAGTAAGGACACACCCATTCACAGGACACACCCATTCACAGGACACACCCATTCACAAAAATACGGACACAATCATTCACAGAAGTAAGGACACACCCATTCATAGAAATAAGGTCATAAACATTCACAGAAGTAAGGACTTCATGCCCATAAACTGACACTAATTAACCAGGCAATAGCCTGCTGTCTGTAAAGTGACCACTGGCCACCAAAATATTTCCGGGGGTCGATAATCTAAAAGTTTGAGCATCCCTTCTATAGACTTGGTGTCTGCTGCATAACCCCATCAGCCCTGCAGGTTAAAGCAGGTCTGTTTGATCCTTACCCAACCCACCCCCAGGACAAAGCGCATCTCTCTGCATGTGTCGCCATATTCCTTTATTAGATTGGCATCTTGTCTCTCGCGAGGATTTATCTCCCTGTACAAACGCCTCGTCTCTGTAACCCCTCTATTTCGTGGTGCTACGCTTTGTTTTTATATTTCTGAAACAAAATCTTCACCGAGTTGTGTGTGTAGCGTCACTATTATAAAAAAAAACGTTACTGATATACAATTAAGATTAATAATAAATGTGTCACTTTAACTCTAACAAAAAATGTTTCTAATATCGAATCTAGTATTCAGATCATACACGATTTTAAAAAGAATTGCCAATTCCTATTTCTAAACAAAATGTTGAATATTACTATTGCTGTAATGGTTTACAACCAGAGTTTCTTTCAGGCATCTTCTCGGGGCGGAGCGCACCCCCCCCCCCCCTCAAGGCAGTCTACCGCCCCCCCCCCCCCCCCCCCCCCCCCCCGGAGAAAAAAGTCTGGAAGAAACACTGTTTATAACTTCTTTAAAAAAAAGTCCATCACGTGGATAAAACCAAATAGATCATACAAAAATAGATTAATTATACCATTTATTTTGAGCGGACAATATTTACATTAAAAATACAGATAATAAAATGTTTTTTTTAAATATTGGTCTATTTTAGCAGTTATGATGATGCATTTTGAAAAGACATTTTTACTAAATGAAATTAAAACAACTGATCTACGTACCTAGCGCTGTACCAGTTCATTTAATATTTGTGAAATAAATTGCGTTTAAAAATATTGGAGTTTTTTGGGGTAGAGGGAGAAAGATAAACGTTGATGTCATTTTATGGTGGGGGTCTGATTTTTGTGACGATGTGAATAAATGGAGGTGGGGGTCTGATTTTTGTGACGATGTGAATAAATGGAGGTGGGGGTCTGATTTTTGTGACGATGTGAATAAATGGAGGTGGGGGGCTGATTTTTGTGACGATGTGAATAAATGGAGGTGGGATCTGATTTTTGTGACGATGTGAATAAATGGAGGTGGGGGTCTGATTTTTGTGACGATGTGAATAAATGGAGGTGGGGGTCTGATTTTTGTGACGATGTGAATAAATGGAGGTGGGGGGCTGATTTTTGTGACGATGTGAATAAATGGAGGTGGGGGTCTGATTTTTGTGACGATGTGAATAAATGGAGGTGGGGGTCTGATTTTTGTGACGATATGATACAATGGAGGTGGGGGTCTGATTTTTGTGACGATGTGAATAAATGGAGGTGGGGGTCTGATTTTTGTGACGATATGATACAATGGAGGTGGGGGTCTGATTTTTGTGACGATATCGAGGTGGGGGTAACGAGCGCCAAGATTGATGTCAGTTAAGGTGAACCATAAAAATCTTTTATAAATGTATCAGGAAAATGATTTTTTTTTCAAAAAGTTATCAATGTCAAGGGCAAAAATATACAAGAAAATACAGATCTATCGCTTGTGGAAATAAAAAGATTAAAATGTGTTCATCTATCCTTGCGAGGAAAGCGTCATCCTAAACAAATATTTATGTTTTTTTAATCTTGTTTTTCAGCCTTGAAAAGGATCGACACATTTCGATGATTAAAAAATTGAATAAAATATAATTCCGAAACACCTCCCCCCCCCCCCCCCAATCTCGACAGCCACTCCAACAAATTGACCGATTTGTTGAGCCTCACACAGTCTGTCAGTGATTGTCATACAATCTGTCAGTGATGTCTGTCACACAGTCTGTCAGTGATGTCTGTCACACAGTCTGTCAGTAATGTCTGTCACACAGTCTGGCCCAGAGTTTTGCTCTACTCCAGTCGCCTAGCTGTACTCAGCCCCAGTCCTCGCTTTTTTCTCTACCCCAGCCCCCACTTTTACTCTCTAACCCAGGTCCCTGGCTTTACCCTAGCCCCCTAGCTTTACCACGCCCTCCCCCCCCCAGCTTTACTTTACCTTGCCGCCCTAACTTTACTCTACCCCAGCCCTCTAGTTTTATTCTAAATCAGCCCCTAACTTTACCCCAGCCCCCTAGCTTTACCCCAGCCACCTAACTTTACTTTACCCCAGCCCACTTACTTTACCCCAGCCCCCTAGCTTTACCCCAACCCAATAACTTTACCCCGGCCCCCTAACTTTACCCCAGCCCCCTCCCTTTACCCCAGCCCCCTAACTTTACCCCAGTCCCCTAGCTTTACCCCAGCCCCCTAACTGTACCCCAGCCTCCTATCTTTACTCCCAGTCCCCTAGCTTTACCCCAGCCCCCTAACTTTACCCCAGCCCCCTAGCTTTACCCAAGCTACCTAACTTTACCCCAGTCCCCTAGCTTTACCCCAGCCCCCTAACTTTACCCCGGCCTCCTATCTTTACTCCCAGTCCCCTAGCTTTACCCCAGCCCCCTAACTTTACCCCAGCCCCCTAGCTTTACCCAGCTACCTAACTTTACCCCAGTCCCCTAGCTTTACCCCAGCCCCCTAACTTTACCCCAGCCCCCTAACTTTACCCCAGTCCCCTAGCTTTACCCCAACCCAATAACTTTACCCCAGCCCCCTAGCTTTACCCCAGCTACCTAACTTTACCCCAGTCCCCTAGCTTTACCCCAGCCCCCTAACTTTACCCCAGCCCCCTATCTTTACTCCCAGTCCCCTAGCTTTACCCCAGCCCCCTAGCTTTACCCCAGCCCCCTAACTTTACCCCAGCCCCCTAACTTTACCCCAGTCCCCTAGCTTTACCCCAACCCAATAACTTTACCCCAGCCCCCTATCTTTACTCCCAGTCCCCTAGCTTTACCCCAGCCCCTAGCTTTACCCCAGTCCCCTAACTTTACCCCAGTCCCCTAACTTTACCCCAGTCCCCTAACTTTACCCCAGTCCCCTAACTTTACCCCAGCATCCAGCCTCTACCCGCTAATATATTGACAGTGCTCGGGCTTCCTCTAATTGCCGACGTGATGTGCTTGCAGCGTCAACAAAGAGCGTCCATTCAGCAGGTATTATCTGGCTAACGTCATCAGAACCCACGTCAACAAACACGGTTTAAGAATCAACTCCCCGCTGTGTTTACACTTATCTTTACTACGCTCATTTGATTTCACGTTGCACCCTTACAATATGTATCAGTTTTCCGGTGCTTTAAATAATAATATCTGTTCTCTGGCGTGCACTTTTAAGAGAAATAAAATCTTATTCTAGACATTACTAACGTGGTGGTGGGGGACACTTTGTTGTGATTTCCGCCTGAGCACTCAGTCGATTAATCACAGGTACAGTTGGTCTAATTAGTGTTGTTTTAAACTTAAGTGCTTTAAATTATTTAACAAATACTGGCTTTTTTAGGGAGAAAAAATATTTCCTTTTGAATAAAATTTTGAACCAGAAATGTCGAGAGTAAAATAATTATTTTCAAAACACGAATTTCAATTTTATTTACAGTAATATTTCCCTGAAATTAAGCAAAAATATTTAATTTTCCTTATCCTATTTCTGGCATTAAAATGTAGAATGTCCGTTACATTCTCTTAGTACTAGTGTGAACATCAGGTGCCGAGTTGGATGCCAGAATTATGTTATCTAATTTAAGGTTCCCAGTGTACTCAAAGAGATCTTTGTTGTTCCCGACACAATCGTCACGGTGGACTTATAACTCAGGGCAAATTGAATGTACACCCAGCTATGAGAAATTTCAATATGTTATTTTAACATAATATAAAGAAAGAAAGAAAAAATATTTGATCTTTTGGATGGCCGGTAATACTTCTTAATAATAAATTGGTGACCTTGACCCTGGCAACATCTGCGACAGGTCTGACGTCAGCGTGCAGTGTCCGTCGTGACCTGCACTTAACTTCTGCCCCTGGTATAAGCTCATGCCAGTAATATCAAGTTACGGTCGAATATATCTAGTTTTGTCCAATTATCAAGTTACCGATTTACTGAAATTCTTTCTAGCGAGCAAATGGTACTCTGGCGACATGTGTTGTAGAGATAAGACCTTACATTACCTGAATAGATGGTTTTCGGTACCTGGATAGATGGTTTATGGCTATAGTATATTCCACCCTTCCCGTCGATTACCCCCCCCCCCCCACACACACACAGCTTTGAATACATTTTATACCTATCCATCTCCATATCCGGTATGCTATACATATCTCTAACCATATCCTTAACTTGCCCTACTTTTGTTTTTGGCCGGGGGTAATGGCATGGCAGAGTTTCTTCCAGGCATTTCTTCGGGGGAGGGGGGGGGGGGACGGGACTGAGCCCTCGAAAAAAGTCTACCGCCCCCCCCCCCCCCACACCAATTTCAAGTGCCGCCCCCCCCTCTCCGAAGAAAAAAGAAAAAAGTCTGGAAGAAACACTGGGTAATGGACATATGGACATGTCGTATTGTCCTGCTCCTAGGTTTTAGAACTAAAATTTGAACGTTTACCGTTCTCTCCCCCCCCCCCCTCCTGAACAAAGTGGAATGTATGTAGAAAATATATACTATTAAATATATACCCACCCACCCCCCCCCCCCCCTCGGAAAATGTAGTTGCCCCTTCCCCCCTCCCAACGCTTCAAGTGTCGCCCCCACCCCCACCCCCACCCCCCTACCCCCCACCCCCGGAGGAGAAAAA